TGAGGGAACTGGCCCCAGCTTGACAACTTTCCCTCCCTCCTCTCTGTACTTGATTCACACCCATCCGGAGGTTCCAGTTCAAGTCCCCCCTCTTCCAGAAAGCACTGCCCAGTGTGCCTGACTCACAGGGCTCCCGTCTCTCTGGTCCACTGTAGCATTGGCTCATGCCAGGACGCCTGTTTGTGCAAAGACCCAGGAGTGAGGTAGAGGAACTACAAAAGTTCATGAGAGCTCCTGGGTGCTGTGGGTGGGATAGGAGGGCCCCGTGAATAATGATTTAGTTCAGACTTACCCTAGGACAATGGCAAGCACAGAAGGGCTTTTGATGTGACTTGATCAGACTGGCATTTGAGAAAGGTCACTGCAACATGAAAAATTGATTGGGATTGACTGGGGTCAAATCCAAGGCTTGGGAGAATCAAAGGGAAGCTGTTACACTGGGCAGATAAGAGTGATGCCTTGGATTCAATTGGGGCTGGGGAGAGAGATGGATTGGGAGAGACTTGGTGACTGTTTAGATATGGAGGGTGTGAACCCTGATGTCAGACTTAAAAGTTAGCAATTTTTAGATTCACTTTTTTTAGAGTTTAGAGCAGTTTTAGGTTTCCAAAAACCTGAGTGGAAAATACAGAGAGTGCTCATATATCCCCCTCTCTACCCTCTTCCCCAGTTTCCCTTTTTATTAATGTCTTGCATCAGTATGGTACATTTGTTATCACTATAAGCCAATATTGATCCATTATTATTATAATTTTTTTGTGTGTGTGAGGAAGATTGGCCCTGAGCTAACAACTATTGCCAATCTACCTCTTTTTGCTTGAGGAAGATTGTCACTGGGCTAGCATCTGTGTCAATTTTCCTCCACTTTACATGTGGGATGCTGCCACAGCGTGGCTTGATGAGTGGTGTGTAGGTCCATGCCTGGGATCTAATCCACAAACCCTGAGCCACCAAAGCAGAGCATGTCAACTTAACCATTATACCACCAGGCCAGCCCCTGATCCATGATTAACTAAATCTCATCAATTACATTAGAGTTTGCTTCTTGTGCCGTACAGTTCCATGGGTTTGGACACATGCATAACATCTTATATCCATCATTACAGTCATGGGGGAGCAGAATTTGCTACCCCAGAATGTGTCTCTTTGGCTTATTTTTAAGAACAAAGACTCAGGAAGGAACTTTGACCTGCCCCCTAACTGCCTAAAAGAATTTAAGCTAGAAGGCCTGTTTCAGGAAGGAGCTAATAACATAGATAATTATAGTATGATATGAACTAGGTGTGGTAGACAGGGAGGAACCTAGCCAAGGCCCATTTGATCAAAGTCCTCTCCATGTCTCATTGTCTTCACAAGGCAGGGCAAACATTTACCAAACACTTGCTTTTCCATCTCCATGAGAATTCCCTTCCTCCCCATGGAAGACCCAAACTACTACCCCCACCATCCTCCTTTGTCTTCAGCTAAAGATGATAGTGCAGGTGCTGGTTTTGGCCATTTAGCAAGTTACTCAGATTTCCCTGGGTTTCTCCCATGTATACATGTCATTAAACTTAGTTGATTTTCTCCTGTTATTGTGTCTCAAGACAATTTAATTCTTAGACCAGCCAGAAGGACCTAGAATGGTAGAGGGATATTTCTTCCTCCCCTATTCAGTATTTTTTATTTATTTATTTTATTTATTTATTTTTAAAAGATTTTATTTTTCCTTTTTCTCCCAAAGCCCCCTGGGTACATAGCTGTGTATTTTTAGTTGTGGATCCTTCTAGTTGTGGCATGTGGGCCGCCGCCTCAGCATGGCTTGATGAGCGGTGCCATGTCCATGCTCAGGATTTGAACCAGCGAAACCCTGGGCTGCGGAAGCAGAGCACGCAAACTTAACCACTGCACCAGGGGGCTGGCCCCTGCTCCCCAGTATTATACAGAATAGTTTCACTGCCCTAAAAACCCCTGTGCTTCACCTATTCCTCCCCCAGCACCCCCTCACCTCCCCAACCCCTGCAGCCACTGATCTTTTTACTTTCTCCGTAGTCTTGCCTTTTCCAGAATGACATATAATTGGAATCATGTAGTATGCAGCCTTTTCAGATGGGCTTCTTTCACTTAGCAACACGCATTTAAGGTTCCTCCATGTCTTTTCATGGCTCGATAGCTCATTTTTTATTGCTGAATAACATTGCGTTATATGGCTGAACTGCAGTTTACCCATTCAGCTACTGAAGCACATCTTGGTTGTTTCCAAGTTTTGGCAATTATAAACAAAGCTGCCATAAGCATAAGTGTGCAGGTTTTTGCGTGGACATAAGTTTTCAGCTCATTTGGGTAAACACCAAAATTGCTGGATCACATGGTAAGAGTATGTTCAGCTTTGTAAGTAACTGCCAAACTGTCTTCCAAAGCTGCTGTACCATTTTGCATTGCCACCAGCAAAGAATGAGAGTTCCTTTAACTCCGCATCCTCATTGGCATTTAGTATGGGCAGTATTTTGGATTTCAGCCATTGTAACAGGTGTGTGGTGGTATCTCCTTGTTGTTTTAATTTGTCATTTCCTGATGACACAGGATGTTGACCATTTTTTCATACGTATATTTGCCATCTTCTATATTCTTCGGTGAGGAGTCTATTCAGATCTTTTGCCCATATTTTAATTGGGTTTATTGTTTTCTTATTGTTGAGTTTTAAGAGTTATTTAGATTCTTTTTTTTTATTGTGTATTTAGGGTGGGCCCTTTCTCTTTCCTTCACAAGTCTCCCCAGTCCTGCTCCCTCCTGGAGATTCTCGTAGGTGAGCTTTCTTCCTGCAGAGACAACCTGACACCAAAGAAGTTGGCTCTTTGGCCACCTGCAGAGGAAGGGATGTCGCCAGTGCAGTTCGGAGACAGAAATAAAAAGCATATTTTGAATACTTCCTTGGTTAAAAGTACTAAGCTTGATAAAGACACCCACACACCCACTCTAAGCTCTGATTTACATATAAAATGGTAACTGAGGATGCTGGGTAGCATATTTTTGTAGTCAAATGAGTAGGAAAAATAATACATCCTATAGGCTCCAGAACAATCACCTGAGTTGTTTCAGGCACATTCTGTGGCTGCTGAAGTGAGGTGCAGGCTCTGATTTGACTAATGGATAAAGCACTTGAAGGGAGTCCTTAAAGATGAAATCTGAAATGGAAGATTGAAGGGGACCCTTGGAGGGCTATTTTATTCTCCAGTGACAGGGCAGCCATCAAAGGCTACTGAGCAGCAGTGAAGATGGTCAAGCTTCTGCCTTCCATAGCCTACAGCCATTACACAGTAATTATGCCCCGTACTTGACATGGCAATGCAGTTACAAAAAATTGGAGCCTGGCTTCTCCATCCTACAAAGTCTCCAAATCTCCCTTTCCTTCTTCATAAATTGGGGTTAATGCTTTTCTCCAAAGCTGATATGAGGATTACATGAGATAGTGGGTACAGCACTTAGTATTAGCTCATTTAATTCTTAAAGCCACCCCCTCACTTATCTCCCATGACTCAGTTAATTATTTTATCTCATTTAATTCTCATACCTCCTGGGAACCTGGGGCATGGAGGACTAGAACCCAGGGCTCCTTTACCGGCCTCTTGCCTCCAGGCTTTTCTTACTTGGTGTATCATTGAAGATGACAGGGCAGGCAATTCATTAAGTGCTTTACATATATTATCTCATTTAAGCCCCACAACATTATTAATATTCCCATTTAGTTGATAAGGACACTGAGATTCTGACAGGGGTCTTTGCCCAAGGTCACCCAGCAATTAAATGAGGCAAGGCCTATATTCAAACTCTAGCTTATCTAGTTCTAGCGCCCGTGCTCTCGACCATTAACTATACAAAACGCCTTCTTGGGAAGACAGCTCCCTCTGCAGCCTTCCAAACACTTTGTCAGGACTCCTGTGGGCGTATTTACAGCGTAGCACTGGGATCAGGCTGACCAGTTGTCTCCCCAGTAGCCTGAGTCTTCGAGGACCAAGACCTTGTCTGAGTCACCTTTGTTCCGCCAGCACCTTCCGTGGTGCTTGGCACACACTTGCTGTGAACCACGCGTTATGCTAGTGTTAGGGAAATAAAAGTCTGGCCAACGAAGATCCCTCCAGAACCAATATACAGAGCAAATAATTTTAACACTGGGCGAGACTTAGCAGAGTTACGTACATCCAAGGTAGAAGGAAAGTGACTGCAAAGTCTGGATAGAATTTCACATACATTTATAGAGAAAGGTAAGGAAACAATGAAACCTTTCTCCAGAACACGACTAGAGGATGCACCTCGCGACTGAGCAATGTACAGCTTGTGAGGGACCCTTGAGCTACTTCCCTAGGTAACGTTTACAGTTCCAACGGTCAGAAGACCCACGAATTTCCACCGCCATAGAGATGAAGCTTTTCATCAGGTTTATTAAGTTCTCAAGGAGGCACCCTCCAGAGGGAGGACAGGAGGGCAGCCGCATCCCTCCTCCAAGAAAACTGCATCCCTGTAACTTCCACTCGTCCCCGGGGCTGCAGAGTTACAGACCAGGACCCGCTCCCCTGGGGTTTACAGTCTGCTATAACTCCATACCTGCTCAAGGGCTCTGGGGGAGGGGAGGGCACTTCCGTAGGTAGTCAGGAAAGGCCTCGTTGAAGAGGAGATCTCTGAGCTGGAATTCTGGAGCTTTAGGAAATGGTTAAGGAGAGAACGAGTGACGAATGACGATCAACCCAGCGGTTGCCGAGGTTAAAGTACGGCTCTCTTTGGCGTCAGGAGCCTAATGAAGTGGAGGAAGGGAACAGAAACACTTAGGACTATCCGAGAACGGTGCTGTCACACTCCCTCAGCTGAAAAACGGGCTGCCGCCCCAGTGCCCACGCCTGGGGCCAAGAGGTACTCCAGGAGCGGCGGGCCAGCGGCTCCGGGGCAGCGGCGGGGGGCGGGGCTACAGCGGGGCGGGGCTACGGAAGCCGAACGGGCGCAGGTCGTTAGGCCGCAGAAGCATGCGCAGACTCGCGGCGCTCTGCGAGCTGGGCTCCTCCCGCCCCGCTGACCCGCTGCGCTCCGCCTGCAGGGCGCGGCCTTCTGCCGGCGCCGCGGCGCTCAGGGCACAGACGCAGTCTCCGAACCGTCCGGCAGCTTGTATCGGTTCAGCGGCGGCACAGACTCGCTCGGGCTTGTCGTCGGCGCCGCCCGGCCCGTTGTGCACCCGCCCGCCCGATCGCCCGAGCTCCCGCCCGTGTCCCCCGGCTGGTCCAGGCGGTGCGGGCATCACCTCCACGGCGGCCCCTCAGGACGCGCGGATCGGACTCCCCGCGCCCAGGGCGGACGGGGTCATGAGGCACCTGCCGTACTTCTGCCGCGGCGAAGTGGTGCGGGGCTTCGGGCGCGGCTCCAAGCAGTTGGGCATCCCCACAGGTGAGCGCAGGGGGCGCGGAGGTCCCCCACCCCGGGCCGGGTCACGTGGGAGCGGGGACGTCAGCGGGGGCTCGGGCCCGGGTTGTGGGGCTGCGGGCAGGGTGACCCCTCCGCTCCGTCCCCGATGTTGAGGCGGAGGACCTTCGATCGGGCTGAGGGAGCTCGTGCGTGCCGGTGGCTCCGAGCCCATCAGGGACCGAGCTTGAGGGGTGATGAGGGCGGAAGCCCAAGCTGAGCTTCGGGGTCCGCCTTCCCGGTCTCCCTATCTAGCCATGATGGACCTGCCAAGCCTGGCACGCGCTTTGTCCATTAGAAAATGTAATGTGGAGCACATTGGCCAAATTCTCAAGCCCGCTGTAAGGTTTTCTTTTAAGTCTGTTACTGGCAGTTGAATGAGAACCACATCTTTTTTGTTTTGTCTACATTAGTTTTAATAGTCAGGACCTGACGGTATGCATAATTCATCGTTAAAAATACACCCCAGGGCTGCCCCTAGGCTTTGTAGCTTGGGGCCTACATATTGTGTATTTCGAAAATAAGAATCTTTTCTAGAGATTCTGAATCTCCTTAAGAAAGACTAGGTCTAAAAAACCCAGCTTGGGTACCTGTTTTCTTCTCCTACTCGAGAGTGTATGCTTTTTTTGGAGAGCTTTCCGCATTTACTGTGATCTGATACCTTGTTCTTAGCCTATCCACATGCAAAGGAGAAAAGTCGGAGCCAGAATATGGAGTGATGGGGTTGATAATCATAGGAAAGATCCTAGGAATTTTGTGAGTGTAATGATTTAGACTAGCCTTGCTTGCAATTTTTAGAAATATTTAATATAAAACTTAACACTCAAAATATTTACTTTTGTTGTTTAGCTAACTTTCCTGAACAAGTAGTAGATAATCTTCCAGCTGATCTCTCCACTGGCATTTATTATGGTTGGGCCAGTGTGGGAAGTGGAGATGTCCACAAGATGGTGGTGAGCATAGGATGGAACCCATACTACAAGAACACGAAGAAGTCCATGGTAAGACTTGCATTGAGCTCTGTAACTGAAAATAGGATGATGATTTAGGGTAATCTGCAGTATTAGATGCAGTAGAACTCTCCAGTGGTAATCACAACATACCTGAATACTAGAATTTCTGGCAGTGTACTTGAAGGATTTAAAAGTGAAGTATTTAGTTACTATTTGAATGGAATAACTTTTTCCATCCTTCCATTTTCCATCTATTTGTGTCTTTGGATCTAAAGTGAGTGTCTTATAAAGGGGTATAGTTGGGGGATGGTTGGTTTTAATCCATTCTGCTAATCTCTGCTTTTTGGTTGGAGAGTTTTAATCCATTTACATTTAAATTAAATGTAAATTTAATTTACATTTGGGGATAGGGAGAGACTTCTCTATTTTGCTGTTTGTTTTCTATATGCCTTATAACCTTTTTGTTAATCATTTCGACCATAACTGCCTTTTGTGTTTAGTTGATTTTTTTTTTTGTAGTGACATATTTTGATTCCCTTCTCATTTCCTTTGTGTTACTTTCTTTAGATATTTTCTTTGTGGTTATGGTGAGGATTGTCTTTAACATCCTAACCTTATAAAAATCTAATTTGAATTTACACCAACTTAACTTTAATAGTCTACAAAAACTCACAAATTTCACCTTTATATATTGTTTGCCCAATAACAGATTAATAATTTTTGTGCATTTATCTTTGAAATCACATAGAAAATAAAAATGGAGTTATAAACCAAATGACAGCACTATTAATAAATTACAATAATATTAATTTTTTTTTATAACTGCCCATGTATTTACTTTTACTGGAGATAAAAGTGACGTATTTAAGATCACGTTTTATAAAATTGTGCCTACCACGGTTCATGTAGTTGATTCACCCTTTGATTACTTGGTCACCCTGTTAAGATAGAACTGCTTACTGTGTGAATGATGTTTTCTGATAAAATTGCAAGGTGATGCTTTTTTCCTCTTTTAAACCACTTTGAGGGTATGTTCTTCTGCTCTTTTTACAGGACCCACACAGCTTAAGGGCTTAATCTGCTGGATATGGCTGAGCAGTTCAAGTGTTTGGCAAAAACAGTTATAGTGATCTAAATTTCATCCCCTTTGAAGAGTTTATAAAAGAGAAGTGTGTCACAATTGGAAAACCACACGGCTGAGTGCTGTATAAGCAATAGAAATGGCCCAGATGACTTAACATTGTGCTCTATTTCTCTTATTTTTGAGTATTAAGCATGTGAAAATTATTTGTTGGAGTAGATAAGGGAAAGAATTGGTGAAGAAACACAAAATGTTTTTCCGTAGAATGAGGGAGGAAATGAAGGGGAGGGGAGACCACTGGCCCATGACTAATTTTTCCATATTAGCTACTCAGATAACAGAACTGTTACTATAGATCTAGTCGTGGAATCCCTTGGAAGTCCTTCCATGGTTAGGAGAAACTCAGTTTTCCATTGGTAGGAGGTCTGTACTTTTCAGAGTTGTTCTTTTTCCTTTTCCTTTTCTTTATCAATAACAGAATCGATGATGTGCCTGTTCAGGTCTTTTTCCCTTTTTAAAAATTCCGTTGGCTGTCTTACTACCTTAAGGAAGTTCTTAATATAGTCTAGATCCACTTTCCTTGTGGAAACTGTGTATTGCAAATATCTTCTCCCACTGTGTTGCTTCCTCCCCCACCCTCCACTTAATGGAATGATGTCATTTGAAGAATATTTTAATCCAATTCATCGTTTTTCTTTTATGCTTAGTTAGTGCTTTTTATATTCCATTTAGGAAACCTTCGCCTACTCCAAAGTCATGGAGATAGTCATCTGTGTTTTCTTCTAAAAGTTTGTCTTAGTTTTCTCATCAAATTGCTTTTTGAGCATGGTGTGAGATAGAGGTCAAAATTAATTTTTTTCCATATGGATATTGACCCAACTCATTTCCTGAAAATATGGTCCTTTCCTGACAGCACTGCCATGTCACCTTGGTCATAAATCAAGGGACTGTATGTGTGAGTCCAAAATACACTCATACATACTCAGTCTCCTCGTGTATCCTCGGGCCAGTACCACACTGTCATACTTTCCATAGCTTTAATAGTCTTGACATCTGATTGTGTAAGTCTTCCAATTTTGTTTTCAAGATTTTCTTGGATGATTTTGGCCTTTCACCTTTTCACATAAATTTTAGAATCGTGTCAGTTTCCATCATTTAAAAAAAAAAACCTGCTAGGATTTGATTGGGATAGCATTGAATCTGTGGATCAGTTTGGGGAGGGTGGACATCATACTTTTTCTCTCAATAATGTTTGTAATGATCAGTGTTGAGGTCTTACATATCTTGGTTTCCTTTTTATTAGTCAAAATTTTACTGAAAAGAAAGAATGCAAGTCAAATATATTGGTTTGCGCTACAAAACCATGGGGCACCTTGTGTCTTCTGACTGAAACCCATCAGTTACAGCTGAGAAAACTGAGCCCCAGCGAGGGTGGGTGTGCCGTTAGCCAAGTGTGGACCCAGACTTGATTCTTAGCTCAGCTCTTACTGCAGTGCTGCCCTGCTTCTCTTAGATGCTTTCAGTTTAGCCTCGTATATAACTTCCACTCTTCTATACGCAATTTTAGATTTAGTAATCTAACCAAGCTGAAGCTCTAATAAGAGCCATATTATAAAGAAAAGTCCTGTTTCTAATATCCATATTTTCTTTTTTAAAATTGTTTAAATCAGGGTTCTTTTTTTCCAATGGGCTTCATTAAATCCATAAATCCCATTAAGTTGTGTGCAAAGTTCTACATAGGGACACTTGAGAGAGCCCATTTTAATGACCTCAGAGGACCGTGATCCTCCCCACAACAAACCAAAAAGGTTATGAGAGACTAGATTATTTTCTTTTTTTAAAGGAGAAAATAAAACTCATCTTAATTTAAAAGTCTTGCTTAATATTTCCTTCCTTTTTTTGGTCTGAATCATTTTAAGTATACATGGGGAACTTGCTATGTTAGGTAAGAAGGAATAAACAATTACTGAGTGCAGATTTTCATATTTGATTTCTCATTAGGTGTAAGTTGCTCCTATTATCTCTGTATTGGTTTTATTACTCTGAACGATCTAGCTGCACTCTTAGCTGATTTGTAATAGACGCTTCAGGTTTAAGGATCACTTCCTAGATTCGACTTTCTAAGTCACACATGAGAATATACTTCTGGTCTCAGGGTACATGTTTCTAAATTGTCTAAACGTCTCCATTTCCAGGGCCACATCCTAGTCCAGCCTCAACATCTTCTGTATTTGTTTGCTCTCTTCATTGATTTTCTGCCTTTTGGACTCAGGTTTGTCCTTTATAGGAGTCTATGAAAATTCAGAGCCCAGAGCACTCCTCCCTCCTGCACCGTTTTGCTTCAGCGCGTCCTGTGCCCGTTTGTCACGTCATCCCCGTGTCAGGAACCTGCGTTGACTCTTCTGCCCCTACGTCAGCCTCCAGCTCTGCCTGATCCTCAGGGTTCTGTAACGTGGTGTGTGTCAGAGACGTGGATCCTGATTCACCTCAGAACTAGTTCTTTCAGTAGTAACTTCTCTTAATACTTTGCTCATTCCCTCCTTGATGTCTTTGCTCAGTTTTTTCACCTTGATAAGACTCTTAATTACTTCGGTGCATGTCAGCTTTTTCTATAAACGTCAAATCGTATCAGATTTGTGGTATAACATCTGCCTTACTCAGTTATAATGTTTACGTGTAAATTCAGGGGCAGGAACAGGAGCCGTAGAAAAATGCAGGAAAAACTGCCCTTAGATTTTAAACTGTCTGTAAAAATTTAATGAGCATTGATTGTTTCATTTAGATTACCCCACCATAAACATGAAGATACATTTCAAATTTCAGTACTCTGTAGTCTGATGGTAATCTTTTTAACATTTCTTGACTGTAGGAAACTCATATCATGCACACCTTCAAAGAGGACTTCTATGGGGAAATCCTCAACGTGGCCATCGTTGGCTACCTCAGACCAGAAAGGAACTTCGATTCTTTAGGTAAGGTCTTATTTAGATCTTCTAAATATTAGCGCAGCTCCTTCTACTGCTTCTCCTAGTAGTAACCATGGCAGGACAGATAATATTTGCACACTTGATATGTGCCAGGCACAGTTTTAAGTGCCTTATGTGAATTAACTCATTTCATCCTCGCAACCACCATATGAGGAATTATTCTGCCCATTTCACAGTAGAGGAATTTGGCACAGAGAGGTTAAGTAGTTTGCCCAGGGTCACATACTAAGTGATGGAGCCTGGATTCAAACCCAACAGGCTGGCTGCCTCTCCCTAACAATATGCAGTTAATGACATCTTTATTTCCTTTTCATATTTTAAGGAACAAGTAAGAATACTGTGATGACTAATGGGTGCTTTGCAATGCTTGACGTGTAAGAAATAGTAAATCAGAACATTTGAAGTGAATGGTGTCGAGTATCTTAGTGTAGTGTGATAGTGTTAATTCTGTTGTAGAGTTTCTTTCACAGGTGTAAATACTGAAGAGAATTGATAGTGAATATTTGTTTCTTCCATCTGGTATTTGCGATGTACCTTTTTGCTGATGCCTTTCTCCAAGAAATTGCAAGAGGAATAAGGCCATCTTTTGTATACCATTAACTTCTACTTGAGTCTGGAAGAAGGGATGGGACAGGCATTTACAGGGCATCTACGCCGTGCTAGAGATGCTGCCAGCCTCAGAGTCTGCAGGAGGCTGCGCACGGGAGTGGTGGAAAGTCCAGCGGCAGTTTCTGATCATCTTGTCCTGGTGTGTTCTCTCTGCAGAGTCACTTATTTCAGCCATTCACGGTGATATTGAGGAAGCTAAGAAACGACTTGATTTACCAGAACATTTGAAACTCAAAGAAGACAGTTTCTTCCAGGTTGCTAAAAGCAAAATAATGAATGGCCACTGATGAAAAATTATCTTATTTATTCATTCACTGTTTTCTTGTATTTTACTGCTCATAACTGTGCAATCTAATCTTGGTTCTATTTTAAAAATCAAACCTTTTCCTACAGCTGTGAATTAGTTTAAACAGTACAGTGTAGTTACGCTTCAGCTGTTCAGTTAAACCCATCATGCTACAGTACTAAAAAGATTCGTTGTAAAAATCAAGATTCTTTTTAATGTGATATATAGATTAAAATCTACCACTGGAAAGGTCTTGAGTGTCTTATAATGGAGATGAAATGTATATAAGTGTGGGTAAAAAGGGAAGTCACTAGTTGGAGATGAGAAGGACAGCTCTCATGGTAAAATAGTCGCATGTCTGTACTTGTATAGCATGTGCCGCTCAACAGAGAAGGTGATAAAAGTCAGTGGATTAAACAGAGGTTTGATAGTTTATGACAAACCTCAGGGGGAAAATCAAGACTTTGTATTTGTGATATTTTGTACATTAATGTATTATTAGACATGAAGACTTGTGAAATTTCACTGTAATCAGTCATTTCCTTGATGGGGTCAGATCATTGTACTGTGTTCCATTTTTGTTACAGCTGCTTCGGACTAATTGGTCTAGACTCCCTCTGCCTATCTTTTTTTTCTTGTTTGTCTTTTAAAACAGTAAAATGAGTGTTTTCTGAATCTCTAGGTCCTGTGTTGTATAACACTTCTCTATTTTTAAGATAGATGTTCGTCTTCAACATTTTTCTTGACTTTGGTTCTTTTTTTCCTTTAAACAATTGTCAGTCTCAGTTTTTTTCCATTTAGCTTATCCCACAACTGTTCACTTAGAGAAGACTGCATCTGTGTCTACCATTCCATCCCTTCACTATATGGACAATGATTAAGTGCATAACTGTATTACATTTTAGGAAAAAACTTCATATTTAGGTTTTTTCAAAGTTTAAAAGAATGTGTAACAGTTAATTTATATATACCAGTTTCTTAAAGAACAAAATACTTGTTTTCTCCCAGGAAAACTATTTAAGAGCCACTTAAACTATGAAACAGAAAGTTATTTATTTTTAATGTGATCATATGTTCCTGAGCAGATGTAAATTTGTATGCGCACAATATAATTTAATGCTAAAGAGTGCTTGCATCTTGGGGGAAAGGCATAAACAATAAAGTTTTAGTTAGATAACCTTCATACTATGCATTTTTTCCTCCATTACTAACTACTAAGAATTGATTTTTTGCCGCTTGAGACTTTTGTTTATATTGGAAGAAAGTTGGAATCTTTGGATATTTAGGAAATTAAAATTACAGATTGTTTGGGCGCCCTGAAACAGTACATTGCATTATTGTTTACTTTAGCACCAGATTTTGTGACGGGATATGGGGGCAGAAATATATAGGAGGTAATTTTAAAGATAAACTCATTATAAATAATTTTCCCTAATCTGCATAAATGAATTAGAGAATAGATTTTAACAAAAATATTTATGAATTATCTAGAAAAACATCTAAAGCTCATGTTGGAGAAGGAGAAAGCATGGATAAATTCAGTTGGACTGTGTTTTACTTTTTGGTGTATGAATTTATGGCAAAAATGTAGTATATGTCCTTTTCATTTCTTCTTTATAAAAACTCTTAGAAAATGGGGGCTGACCCCATGGCGTAGTGCTTAAGTTCCGTGCTCTCTGCTCTGGCAGCCTGGGTTCATCAGCTTGTATCCCAGGCGTGGACCTTCACCACTCGTCAGCCATGCTGTGGCAGTGACCAACATATCAAGTGGAGGAAGATTGGCACAGATGATAGCTCAGGGCGAATCTTCCTCAGCAAAACAAACAAACTTAGAACATGTAGTTTAATGTTAAAAATCTTCCACTTGACTTGAAAGAATCCTCAATTATCAGTGACCTTATGAAACAGTTAAAAACAAGCATGGAAAGTGTAGAAACAGATGTGCGTGTGTTCCAATAGCCTGCTGCTAATTGTGTCCTCATTAAGTGTGTGAAAGTTCTGTGATGTTGCCACCTTACACTTTGCGAAATAGCCATCCCTTGTGAATGATATGGTATGTGTTTTAGGAATGAATAATGTCTACATTTTTTGAAGTTTATATTTAGTATTTATGCATTATAAGAAATTGCAATAGTACCATTTTTGATTAGTCTGACTGCTTTCAGGCCTTGAAGTCAGTCTTGACTAAGCGGTGTTTCCTGTCTCCCTGGGTCAGGTGGAATCTTTGCCTTGTTTGCATAAGTCCCTAATTTGTTGGCCGATGCTTCCTTCAGGTGTGTTAGAGGCCTTATTAGCAGGTCATAGGCGGCAGCTGTAGGGACAACCTGGCGTGTGGTGGTGGTTGTGCAGCCAAAGGCCTTTCCTGTAAGGGGCCCTGTTTTTTATGCTTGTGGCGCAGCGACAGGTTTATTTGGAGAGCATTCACAGGCGACAGTACTCTGAAAAGTCCACTCTCTGAGAGTGAGGGTCCTCATGCCATTTTGGAGTTACAAGAGCCAGAGGAGTGTAAGTGGGTCTGAGTTCCCTTCCATGACTCCTGCTCCTAACAGGGCTCTGTAACCTTCATGACTTGCGCCACCAACCCCATGGCAGTGACCTGGCACTCTGGCCTGGCTCTGCTGTAAGCAGGAACGCATAGTTGCTCTTTCAACCCTCATCTCCAGTGCTCTCAGCCACGGAGGCCTAAAAGCCTGCAGTCAGGGCTGGCATGTGACACGGTTCTGACCAGGGAGATGAAAGCAAAGTCCACTTGGGATTTATGAGGATGGTTTCGCTTTCCTCGTGAAAGTGCCAGTCTGTTCCTGTTCCCTCTTACCTGGAAAATGGATGTGAGGCTGATAGAGGAGATCCAATCTGACCTTCAGAGACGGAGCTGGGAGATAAGTCCACGCTGTAAAAAGAGATGCGATTGTAAGCAAGAGTAAAAGAAAAATTATAGAATAAGCCCTAGGAAGATGACAGATGTAGGGATTATCAGGTACAGAATCTGAAATGACGGTTTAATATGTGCAAAGAAATAAAAGAGTATCGAAAGTGGTAAAATAAAGTTCTGTAAAAATTGGCAGATTTAAGAATTGTCAAAATTTATGGTGAAAAAATGATTGAAATTAAAATCTCAATGGACGGGTTAAGTACGGTTCAGACACAGAATTGGTGAACTCAGATCTGACGAAGGCTATGAATGTGCTGCCATGTGCCTATTGCCTGTCATTGCAAAGTCACCTTCTGTACTCTTTGTGATGTGGCTGTGACTCGATGTTTCTTTGACAGTTGACTTCCTTCTGGGTCAGGTCATACATGGAGTCTGAGCCCCAGCTTGTGTCCAGGCGGCTCAGTTCGTCCGTGGACCTCCCCTGTGCTAATTTCCCCTGGTCCTGAGTGTATTTAGAACAGACATACTTGAGAACTGACAGAATCCCCACTTTGGTTCCCTGATCGTAACGAGGGCTAAGTAGAAGCCAGAACAGTAAACCAAATCAATGCGACATCTCGGGAAATTGCAGAGAGCCGTCGTCAGAAATCCTGAAAGATTCAGGGTCAAGCCACCCAGCATATCTGCTCAGACCAGACAGAAATTTGATGGATCTTGTAGAGTGACTGCATCATCATAAACTAATCAGGTGGTGACCTCCACTGCAGCTATTGTCCAGGACACAGAAGACGTCTCAACAGATTTCCAAGGATTGGTATGAAGAACATGTTGATCACAACATCATGGAGAAAAATTAATATTTTTAAAAATGCAAAAATATCACAATGGAAAGCTATGTTGAAGTGAACAACATGCAACATGTAAAAATTAAAGGGATGCAGCTAATGCTTCCCTCAAAAGATTTATAGCTTTAAATACATTTATTAGGTAAGATCAATAATGTAAACTTTGATCTCAAGCTAGAAAAAGAACAGCAAAAGAAACCAGACAAGAAAGAGTACATACTGTGTGATTCTGTATAAATTTTAAGAACAGGCAAAACTATAGCAAAAAAAGGTCTGAATGGTTCCTGAGGACAGAGATGACTTGGGAGGATCATGAAGGCGGTTGGGTGCTTCTGTCTTACTGTCCTGTTTCTAGAGTTGGGGGCTGGTTGCATCGTGTGCTCGCTTTGTGAAAATTCATCAAGCTTTTGTACTTGTGCACAGACAAATAAGACAATGTTCTGTATAGCTCAGCTGTGACTATCATTTACATGGTCATAATTACAGCACTGAATTTTTATAAAACAAAATGGATTTGTTGGAAAGATGAGGAGATGGGAAGTGTGCAGGGCAGCGGTAGGAAGCGTTTGGAGAAGAAATGCTCATCTTCTGTTAGTGGGAAGTGAGTAGGTAGATGCCCAGCCTGAAAACATGAGCAGCAGCAGTGTGAGCATCTCCCTTAGAGACAGGGAGACACACGTTAAACCATGGAAAGGGGGAGAGTGCTTCTAAGACGTGGGAGATGGGGTGTGATGGGGGCAAATTAATGTCTATTTTTCTTACTATGTCTTGTTGAGTAATTTGATTCCTTAAATTATGTGCAGGTATTTCTTGATTAAAAAAATCAGCCTTTAAAAAGTTAATTATATATTTAGATGGTGTTCAAAACGTTGGGAAACCTAGACAAACTTATTTTTAAAGAGTGTATTATATTTTCAAATTACATGATCAGTATGTTTTTGTTCAATTGCCAAATACCTTTTCAGGTAAACTACGTCTAAATTTATTGAGTCCAACTAGTAATCTGAAAAAAAAAAAAGACAAACCGCATTATAAAGCAGTGCTGTCCAATAGAACTTTCTGCTATGAGGATAGTATTCCATTTCTTCACTCTCCAATAATTACTTTAAATAGCCACATGTGCCTAGTGACGAGTATTAGACAATTCAACTATAGAGGATTTAAAAAGTCTGGAAACACACAAGGGAAATAGTATATTTACTTTTTTCAGATTAACAATTGGATCCATTGTCTTAATTTTGAGGTACTTTATGTGAAAATGCATTGAGCATATTTCTTGAAATAGAACTAACATACTGTTTAAGTTGGTTGTTTCCCAACTTTCTGGATAACTATATATGATACTCTTTCCTCCTACTTAGTTTGCTATTCTTTTAATAATTGCTCATTGATTTTCAGCCATTATTTCCCACATGAGCATTTAGGTCTAAGAATCTCCCCTCACCGACTACAGGTTGACCCGCTGGCGTGTGGACTCAGCCCCTTGTAAAGGGAGTGAGCTGCCCGGCAGTTGCATCTCAGCCTGGCTTTCCTGATGGCATTCCTGCACACAGTCACCTTCCCTTAAAGGTCTCAGCGAATTGCATTAGTCTGTTAGGTTGAAAGGCCTTTAACAGAAGGGAGATGGATATATTTGAGTGGCACTCATGAATACATGAGTTCCCGTACCAGCCCCACAGCAGTCTCTTCACAGCAGCCTCCCACAAACTCCGGTGTCTCGCATTTTTATAATCGCCTTAGCTCTTTGACCCAGAGTGAACGCTTCGAGAGGCCCTGGACTGTGTTTTCGTTCCCCCAGCATCTATGTAAAGAAAGTGCTCTGTATGCAATTGTACATTAATTAGAAATAAATGTATCTCTGATATTGAGGTCTTAATACAGTGACAGAAGTAGAGAAAGCTTCACTGGGAACCCAGCTTGTGAGACGAATAATTTTTAAACCTGGCTCTGCCTCCCTCATCTCCGTTTTTTTTTAAATTAATTTTTTATTGAGGTAACATTGCTTTATGACATTAAATAAATTTCAGGTATACATCATTATATTTTGATTTCTGTGTAGATTACATGATGTTCACCACCCAAAGACTAGTTATAATCCATCACCACACACCTGTGCCCTGTCACCCCTTTTGCCCGCCCTCCTCCCTCCGTGCTTCCCCTTTGGTAACTGCCAACCTAATCTCTATATGTAAGTGTTTTGTTGTTGTTTTCATCTTCTATTTATGAGTGAGATCATAGGGTCTTTGACTTTTTCTGTCTGACTGACTTCACTTTCGGCTCCATTTTGTTCTCGAAGGCAAAATCTGCTATGGTTGAAACCTCTAGGGCTAAATTTTGGTATCTACTGAGCCTGAGTCAAAGTCACTATGATGGGTACTAAATTATCTCATGTTTTTTTAGTAGAAAATTTGTGACTTGTAGAATTTGTTGTTATTTCTAATCCTTCATGAACTAATACTTTTAAGG